CATCTTCTCGTGCCAGCCTTTAGCGAACTTGTAGGCTGCCGGACTGTTGCCTCTATACCCCGTTGCCACCGTCGTAGGTGTCAAAGGTTGCTGCCCCGTCGATAACTCAAATGGACTCGTGTTGGTCGACTCGCTGCGGTGCAAGTTGTAGGAGAATTGTGCCGTATCCATCAACTTCACCCAGTCTCGTTGGTTTGCACTTACGTAGTGTCGCAAGTAGACTTCCAACAAAGCATTCACCCGCTCCGTCTGTCCGTCGCTTTGAGGATGAAATGCCGTTGAGAAGTTCAAGTCTGAGCCTATGATCTTGAACAACTCTCGCCAAAATCTTCCCGTGAAGCGCCCATCTCTGTCGCTCACGATGTTGCTAGGAACGCCCCAATACTTGACCACGTTCTTGAAGAAAAGACGTGCCGCATCCTCTGCCGTCATATCTTTTGGGCCGGGGATGAACACTCCATACTTCGAAAACCTGTCCACCACAACCATGATGCAACCGCATCCATCGACTTTGGGAAGTCCGATGATGAAGTCCATGCTTACACTCTCCCATGGTCGTTGAGGTGTGGGCAAGGGCTCTAGCAAGCCTGCCGGGCTTCTCTGCTCCATCTTGTCTTGTTGGCACACAAGACAAGTCTTCACATACATCTCCACGTCGTCTCTCATACGCGGCCAGAAATATGCTTCTTCGATGAGCGCTTGCGTTCTCTCGATGCCGGGATGGCCCGCCCACTTGGAATCATGGCACTCCTTCATGATCTCCTTCCTCAAGTTGGCCCACCTTGGCACGAACACTCGCTCTCCCTTGGTCATGATGAGCCCATCCTTCATCCAAAACCGTCGAGTCTTGCCTTGCTCGATGTACTCCGCTACGGTTTTGGCGAAGGGGTCATGGCCAAGGCCTTCAACGATCCGCTCCTTCAAAGGAAACATGGGCTGGCTGATGCTTGCAGCGGCACTCTTGCGGCTAAGAGCATCGGCAACGGAATTCGCCTTGCCTGGATTGTACTCCATGACGAAGTCGAGCTCGGCCAAAAAGTCTTGCCACCTCGCTTGCTTGGGGGTGAGCTTCTTCTGCGTCAGAAAGTAGCTCGTTGCCACGTTGTCCGTCTTCACTACGAACTTTGACCCCAACAAGTAGTGCCTCCATGTGCGCAAGCAATGCACCACGACCGTCATCTCCTTCTCTTGAACGGTGTATCGCCTCTCCGTCTCGCTAAGCTTCCGACTCTCGAAGGCAATGGGATGCCCATCTTGCATCAACACGCCCCCAATCGCGAAGTCGGACGCATCGGTCTGCACTTCGTAGGCCAACGTCGGGTTGGGGAGCACGAGCACGGGCTCCTTCACCACTGCTTGCTTCAAGGCCTCGAATGCTTCTTGGCACCTTTCCGACCAATCCCACGCCTTGTTCTTCTTCAAAAGATCCGTCAAGGGTGCTGCAATGTTGGAGTAGCCCTTGATAAACCTCCGATAGTAGTTGGCAAGGCCGAGGAATGACCGCAACTCTGGCACCTTCGTCGGGGCTCCCATTCTTGGATTGCCTGCACCTTCGCTCCATCCATCTTCAACTTGCCTCCACCAATGATGTGCCCCAAGAATGGAACCTCCGTGGCGGCAAATGTGCACTTCTCCCTCTTGACGTACAACTCGTTGTCGCGAAGGACTTGGAAGACTTGGCGTAGGTGCTCGGCATGCTCGTCGAGTGTTTTGCTATACACGACGATGTCATCCAAGTAGACCACGACAAACCGGTCCAAGAATGGCTCGAACACTTGATTCATCAAAGTGCAAAACGTGGCTGGTGCGTTGGTGAGACCGAATGGCATCACAAGAAACTCGTAAGAGCCATACCTCGTCACACAAGCTGTCTTTGGCTCGTCGCCCTCTGCTATCCGCACTTGATAGTAGCCCGAGCGAAGATCAAGCTTGGTGAACCACATCGCATCTCCAAGCTGGTCGAACAGATCGCCAATGTTGGGAATCGGCCACTTGTTCTTCACCGTCAACTTGTTGATGGCTCTATAGTCGATGCACATGCGCAACGACCCTTCCTTCTTCTTTTGGAACAGCACCGGTGCTCCAAAAGGTGACTTCGATGGCCGCATGTAGCCTGCGTCCACCAAGTCCTTGAGCTGCCTCCGCAACTCCTCTAACTCTGGTGGCGACATGCGGTATGGTGCTCGCGAAGGGGGCTTCGCTCCTGGCTCCAACTCGATCTTGTGGTCCACCTCTCTTCTTGGTGGCAGCTTCTTGGGCAACTCCGATGGCATCACGTCATCGAATTCTTCGAGGACGCCTTCGATGATGGGAGTTGTGATTCCCGCTGAGCCTCCTTCTTCCTCCATTTTCAAGGACACAAGAAAGGTTGGTTCATTCTTCTTGAACCCCTTCAACACTTGCATGGCCGATAAAGCACTATGGGGGCCATCTTCTCTTAAGAGATGGATCGTGTGAAACTCCCCCTCCTTCTCCAAGCACATCGTGTTGGAGTTGGGCTTCAAGAGCACTCCCTCCTTGTCGAGGAAGTTGATGCCGAGGATGACTGGGTGATCGTCCATGGTGACGACGGAAAAGTCGATGAGACCTTCCCACTCGCCGAGCTTCATTGGCACGTTGTGAGCAACTCCATGGATTGGGATGGACTCCGAATTGATCGTCTTGAGCCTCCCTTGCCCCTTCTCGTAAGCAATACCCAGCCGGTTTGCCTCCTCGATGCGAAGGAAGTTGTCCGTGGCACCGGTATCCACCAAGGCTTTTGACTCGCCTTGCATGAATTGCGCCAGAACATAGCACCTCCCACGCTTGCTCTCCTTGACGTCGGTCTTTGCCGCGCCAAGCTTGCGGATTGAGCCAATCTTGGCCTCCGCCGCCTTGGGCTCCTCCTCTTGAGCTTCCATGGCCGCCAATCTTGCCTTCCTTGGGCAATCCCGCACTCGATGTGGTCCGTCGCAAAGGAAGCAAGACATGGGTTTTGGCTCGTACTTACCCCCTTTGCTCGAACCACCTTGTTGTTGTTGAGCGCGAGTGCCCTCCTTGAAAGGCTTCTGCTGTTCTCCACCCTTGTTGGGCTTCGAACTCTTCTCTTTGCCGCTGCTCTCTTGCCTTTTGTACTCAACAAAAGACTCCGCCGTGGCCATGGCAGTTGCAAGGTCTTGCACTCCTCGACGTTGCATCTCCATCTTGGCCCATGGTTTCAGCCCATCAAGAAAGCCGTGCATGGCCTCCTTGTCCGTGATGTCCGGGATCTCTAGAAGCAGCTCCGAGAATTCTTTCACATATTCTCGAACTCCACCCCTCTGGGTGAGTTTTCTCAACTTCGAACGGGCTTCAAACTCCACGTTCTCCGGGTAGAACTGCTTCTTGATTTCTCTCTTGAAATCTTCCCACGTTACCATCACACAAGTACCTCTTTCGACGTCCGCTTCACGTCGCCTCCACCACACCATTGCAACATCGACCAAGTATAGTGGAGCGGTACGAAGTTTTACCTCATCCTCTTGGATGCCAGATGCCTTGAAGTATTGCTCAAGACTCCAAAGGAAGTTCTCTAACTCCCTCGCGTTCCTTGAACCTCCGAAGTTCTTCGGTCTTGGAACATCAGCACGTGGGACGGATTGCGCCGGGGCTGGTCCGTTAGCCATGGCTCTCTTCACGAGAGTGACCTCACTCTTGAGGTCTGCAATCTCCTCCTTCACGCCGACCAGCTCAGCCTGGACTTGCTCTTTCACAACTTCAAGGGCGTTGTTCATGGAGGTGGTGATGGTGTTGTTGATGAGGGCCACAAGCTCTTCCCGCATCCCATCGTGGTTGATCTCCAAGCTTGTCAACCGACCAGCCATTCCTTGAACGTCGCCTTGGACTTGGGCGAAGTTACCTCCCAAATCCTCGATGGCGGTGATGTCTTCCGCCAACTTCACTTCCACTCGAGAGACTCGCCTCTCCAGTGCCGCCATAGGATCACGAGTGCTTGACTTGTCACCCTTTGGCTTGGGATGCTTGGTTTGATCCCTTCCGCGCCTCTCCTGCTCGGCGGTAACGCCGCTGTCTGATCCCGACATTTTTGGTGAGGTTCTTCCTTTCCTTCTGGCTCTAGGTTCAACTTTGCTTGCACAAAGCCGAACCAGGCTCTGATACCACTTGTCACGACCTTACTCTCGATCGTGCGGCCCTAGCTCTCAATTCCGTTAGAGCGCTAGGCAGCCTTTCTCTCAACTCACTTGAAAGCAAAGAACAAGAACACAAGACAAAGGATTGGGAGAACTCTCTAGTGTGTATTACTCTCAAAAATGATGGAATGAGTTACAAGTGAGGGAGATGGCTCCTTATATAGGCCTCTCCTCATACAAGGCATCAATGCCCCTCATAATGTCCCTCTACTACATCAATACACCCATTAAGTCCCCCCATTATGCACTCTATAAATACTACCATAATGTAGCTAATAAGTGCACCATTAAGCTCTCTATTAAGGTGGAGAATCCTAGGAGCATCTCTATGCTACTAGTCTTCCATGCATGACACATGTGCAGCCTTGTTGTCACCTTGTTGGCGCCATGTCATCGGCCACATGTGACAGCGGGGGCGGAGGAGGAGGAATAAGGCATGAGGTTGAGCTGGGGAGGAGAATGGTGGGGATGATTTTGATGATGATGAGGTGGGAAGATTTTGTTGTAGCGGCCTTGCCCTGCTTTCATGGTTGTCGCTGCCGCCATGGCCAAATCCGACGGAGGGAATAGGAAAGAAACTGAAACTGTTGGGGTAGAAAGTGAGAGGTGAAGCAATGCGTGCCTGGCTGCTTTTGTCCCAATCAAGTTAATTTTTAATTTTTTTTAATGGACATGTCATAAGTTAACGGTCCAGTCAGCAGTTCTGTTTGCTACGTCATCAAAAAAATGACTGAGTTAACGGAGTCTGACGGAGACTAACGGTCGGTGACTAATGATAAAGTAACTCGAATGACAAATGTGAAATATTTATGTAATTTGAGTAACCAAATCGTGTAATTTAGCCTAAAAATAACAACAATAAAGTAAGGTCTTTAAAAGTGAGTACAGCAAAGAGTACAACACATGTTTATATTAGAACCACTTTGATTTGATAAGAGGGGCATTATTATAATTAAAAAGCTGATAAACCCTAGCTTCCCCCACAAGCTTGCTGTTACTGGCGTTATCTATTACTTAGGAAGCAGGGAAAACGGCTCTAATAATTACCGTAGTAGCACCAGCAATCATTTTTATCACAGTTGCAATCCAAGTAGTACAAGGCAGGACACCTATTAAGGTACTTGGAACGGCAGTCTTTGTAGGTGCAACCAGCAGAACAGTCTGTCTCAACGGAAGCATTGCCGGAAGTTGTACCAGCTCGTCGGCCCGCGGCCACGACAGGCGTTGCTCTGTTACTATGAGGCCCACCGTGCAAATGGTGGTTCCTGCAAATTGTTGGCACTTTTGATCGAGAAGAGGGTAATGGTCGCGCGCACGACAATATTGGATCAACAACCCTAAAATGAAGAAGGTGGAGCGGCGGCTGCTGGGATATATATTATTGGGTTTCATACCTGAGATCTGTGCTGCTAGAACTGTTGGGAGCCATCCCCGACTTGGGAGCAATCGTTCTCGCCGATTCGCTCCAAGGAAGAAGGCCTGCATGGATACGAGTCAGGCAAATCATGAATACTGTAAGCGAGTACAGTACAAGAATGAAAGAATAAAGAAGTGAAAAGAGACGACGGGGGAAGTACAGTACATGGAATTAGGATGACCCATGAGATGAAGGGCAGCAAAATGGCCAACTTAGTAATGCTGGGCATGATCGTCGCCATGGATGGGTGTTCTTCAACTACTTGAAGTGGTGGATATATGTGTATGTGTGGATGTTGAAAACAGCTGGTAGTAGGCAGCTGCTTATATACAACATCAAAGAGTGTTCAGGACTTGATATCTTCACATATGATAATTCATTAATAATTTGGTCATTTGGATTTATTGGAATAAAACAGCTTGCAGCAGTCAACATTTGTTGTTGCGTACGCATGCATATCATCTAATTGGAAGGAAGGTGGTGTTTGTTAGCATAACTACTTGTGTGATTCAAAAAAAAAAAAGTAATAATAATTCTGATAATAATAGCGATACAATATTAGCCAACATATTCTACCTTTTCATCCATGTTTATCAATTATTGATGCAGATCATCTTATACTCATGTACCCAACCTTTTATTTACGTAATCAACCAAATTTATCACGCATTTGGAGCCAAAAGTCTGCACGAGAGGAGCTATAATGTTTACGTTTAGTGAATTTGAACTGAAGAGGGGCTATAGTCATACTACCTATTATATTTTTCAAATTTGTTACAAAATTGACACTTTTGAGAATTGAGTGGACTATAGCCCCTCCTGCCAATACTGTGGCTCTGCCACTGTCATCGCCAATCAAACAATATGTCATTAACCATTCCTTATCATGTGATCGATGTGTAATGGAGGAGTTTAATCATATAAATGGTGCTCTTTAACATAGTTTTTGTAGCCACTTGTAAAATACAATATTATAAGGCTGAGATTAAGTCCACGATGGTATGGGTGCAGCTTCCCGAGCTCCCGATTGAATTTATTAACAACGAGGCAGTGTTGCGTATTGGGGAAGCAATTGGGAAACCCATCCGAGTGGATAGAGCTACGATATTGGGAGCTAGGGGGAAGTTTGCTCGGGTAATTTGTATAGAATTTGATCTGACCCAACCCTTGCTCTCGCAGTATAAGATTGAATGGGCCACGTATTTGATCCAATATGAGGGTCTCGATAATATATGCACCAATTCATGGACGAGCACTGATAAATGCAAGGGGTGTTATCCCGTCCAAGAGATGGAGTCGGAGGAAGTGGAGAAAACGGGAGGCAATGTGAGTGGAGCCCCAATTAAGGGAGACTCGACTAATGGTCAGGTATATGGAGAATGGATGATGGTGAAGAGGAGAGACAGGCGTTCGGCTAGGCAGATTAATGAGAATAGGGGCATAGAACGGAAGAAGGAAATGGCCAATAAGTTTGAAGCCCATAATGAAAATGGTATTTCGGAGTAAGTCATAGTGGAGTCTCAATAAGAATCTCAGCGGCAGGCTCGAAGCCATGCACGTGAAAGTGAGAAGGTCCATTCAGAAGGTAGTTATGGACAAGAGAGTAGGGGAACTAAAGAGAGTATGACTTTGGGACATGGAGTAGAGGGACAAAGTTAGTGGTGCAACTTTGACAAATATATGTGTGGGAGAAGGGTCTGAGATAAGTTGATGACTCGTTTCGAATATCACAATAAAACACTCAATTAGTGTTAAAGTGTAAATTTTAATTGGGTGCAATATAGGGCAAGAATTTTTTAAATATGAATCCGTGCCGATCCATGTAGCTCTACTTTGATTGTTTGAAACATTATCTATCAATTGGTTTTTTTGGTGAAAACAACGATCTATAACTAAAATGTTTGGAAAAGTAAATAGATTTGACACTAAATGAGAAGGCTTCACCCGAGTGTTGCTCCCCCTAGCTAGCAGTTATGACTTGTCGGGTTGAATGAAAACATGTGATAAGGCGGTTGTAAACCGTAGAGAAGTGAAACAAGTGTACAAACGCCACTCTCTCGGTCAAGAGGTCAAGGGAATTCGATTCAAGCTACCAAAGTAGCTCTCTTGACCTATTGACTAAGGGTTGCCAAGACTTCACCCTCAAATCAGAGTTCAGACGGCCAAAATACAACCAACCGTAGGTGCTAATATGAATTAAGAGGTTTGCCCTAGTTTAATCTAAGTATGAGGCAAAGATGCCCAAGGAAATCCAACTTCTACAAGCCTCGTGAAAAGAAGGGGATTTCCCTCTACCTAGGTTAAGATAGCATTAGACATTAAAATGCACTAACACAATCAATCTTCATGAAAATACCTCATAAAATTGTATTAAAATACACCCTCACACAAATCATTCAACCCATACAAACATTTAAATAATTGCAGCTATGGTTTACAAACACCCAAGTGAAATAAGGGACTACTCCATGCTAAGAGAAGGGAAAACACAAGGAAGAAGAAGGGAAACCATCATGGAGATGCTAGCCTTGCTCCTTGTGTTGAAGAGATCCTCCTTTTGCAGAAGGAATTCCCAAAACCTTGCTTGAAGATGAAACCCTAACTTCTTCCCTTCTTTGGTTCGTCACTTTCTCACACTAGAAATCTTCAGAAGAAGAAGAAGTTTCTCACACAAGGTCTCCCAATTCTTCCTTTAGCTCAAGCCTCTTTTATACCCAGGTCGGGCTTGATTCACGGTCCCAGTTCACGGCCGTGAACATATGGCGGGGACCGTGATCTTGAACAAAAATGCACCACATCTTTAGGCTCTTCATGGTCTCTCGCTTGGGTTCGTAGTCTTACGACCATTAAGTGACTTGAGTCTAGTGAGATGGAAAATGGCTCTGGACGCATGGAGCTTCACGGTTAATGGCTTTACTTCACGGTCCTTCTGGTCGTGAACTATCTGTCTCTGCCATGATCCGCGGCTGCCTCCATCCTTTGACTCGGTTTTGTGTCTTTTCGTCCAACTTACGGCTCTGGGGCTGGTTCCACATGCTTGAGTTTGAAACACGCTAAAACAAGGCTAAACCTAGCGTAAAATCACACCTCTCGGAGTGCAAATGCCTCAAACGCCTAAGGAAAACGGGGATAAAAAGTGTACAATTAGGCCCGAATCACTCCCCCACCCTTAGAAGTTTGTTTGTCCCCAAGCAAACCATTTTCAACCAAGGTAATATCTCAACCCAACAGGATAACTTGGGGACAAATCAAAGGGCACAAAGTGGTGAATCTCAATGGCTAGTGGGCATCAACACATGAACCGCTACAAACAATACTGACATCCACCACAAATGACATTCGAATGCGTCAAGAATGTGCAAATGAAAAGTTCTCACCCTGTTCTCAAACCCATAAAATTCTCAATAAAACCACTCACCAACCACAACTAACCGTGCATAGAGTTCAAGTCGAATGCACAAATGAAGGGGCAACATAGGTCCTCACCGGAGTAAGATATGAATATGCAAAACATGAATGAATCACTCACTCTCGACAATGGCTTCGACTACGAACCTTCTCTACACTTAACGGCCACTAGCATCGGCCAAAAACCACACTCCCCTTCTTCCAAACCACTACCAATCACGAACTACATTCAAGCACACTTCTTTAGCCTATCTTGCTATCCACAATTCAATCAAAGTAGTGAAAAAGGTTAACAAACAATTTAGGTGTTTTAATGGCTTGAGTGCCAAGAAACCCTATCTAGTGCATACACTTAGACTTTTGTGGCAACTCTCTACTTTTATTTACCCCATTTTATTACCTCTTTTTCGTTTCCATTTTTCTATTTTCCATTTTCTTTTTTTCGGAGGGGAGTGCTAGAGAGTTAAACATTTGCTAATTAAGCTCACAAGCAACAAGCTCCTAACATGAGAACGACCCCCAAAGTCACACGACTAAAAGAGGTTGACTAGGGGATACAATGTTTCGAGACGATCAACTTTTGGGCGTGGACTAATCCTATTCCTCCATCATACTCACTACTGATAACGGTGAATGTTACACAACATGGCAAGAGGGATCTATCACACATGAACAAGATGATCGGCACAAAACTCACATTGCTACCTAGCCACCCAATCAACTATTCCAATTTCAAAAAAATCTATGCAAGGCAACTGTGATCAAAGAGTAACCAAGTCAAGACATCCATTCAATTAAGCTCACATGAGAACTAAGCTTTTGCACACACCTAATGAAACTCTCAGCCATCATAATAGGATGCACTTGATCACATGCAACAATTCAAGTTCAATGCCAAATAAACACGAGATTCACCCATAAACCGGCCACTTCGATCATGCATTGCTTGGAGACTTCAAAATTTTCAAATTTGGGCATACATCAAGGCTCCAAGCGGACAATTGCATACACAAGCATAATAATAAACTACCCCTCCTCCCCCCGCCCCACACACACTTAAACTCGACATTACCCTCAATGGCACAAAATAGGGGGTAGAACGATGTCACTGAATGGTTTGGTGAGTTAAAGTTGGACAATTTACCAGGGTAGGAGGTTTGAGCTTCAAAGAGAAGACAAAAGCAAAACAAAAACAAACGCACATAAAAGGAAAGAAAGGCTCACAAATGTACTAGTTCACACACTAAAGAAAAGAAAAACAACAGAGTGCAGAGTTTCAAGTGTAGAAGTGGGGCGAAAGTAATCGACTCTGCCACATGTCTCACTCTGTCGGCTACCTCTCTCGGGGCGAAGGTCACTACTCATCATCCGAAAAGACACCCTGGCGTCGAGAAATCCACTCCAACAAGTCGGTGAATCGATCGAGCCGGGTGTTGACTCCAACAAACTGCTCCTCGAAGCGATCCACACGCTACTCAAGGTGGATTCCAGATGAGGAAGTACCAGCTCCGTATGATGATGTTGCTGATGGTGGTGGTGGTGGTGGTGCGACACGATAACGGCGATCGGGATCTCGAGTAGCCGGCTGCTCGAGAGGAGGGACCTCTGGATTAGGCTCCACTTGATCAGGGTCAATCAGTGTCCTTAGTGTGCC